TAGAGCTAGACCAATATGAGCACTTAACCCTTGCATGGGTTGATTTTTTAAATAACTGGCGTTTTAAATAACTCTTTAAAAATCCAGATTGATCAGATGATCATAACATTACACTGACAACACTTGCCTGAAGTATGTCTAAAACAAGTACAAAAAAATAAAACGTTCCTAAAAAGAAGATTGTTTCTACAATACATTTTAATATTCACACTTTGTAATTTCTTTACTAGGCTGTCATTGTATTTCTCCATAAACATGTCATGATGTATTGCTGCTTACCAGGTAATTTCGGCCCGGGGTATATTTCATTTTCCATATTTGTGTTTGTGATCCATTCATCTAGAGCAGAAACCGGTTTGTCCTGAACACAGAGACACGCAATGAAATCATATCTGTTTGTAAAAGTCTGCAACATTAATAAATGTATATAGAAAGATGAAAAAAGTCATCCGTCATCAAGAAAAGTGCCACATAGCAGTCCTCTAAGGACGCATTTATACTTTGTATAACAACACAAGGAGGTCTATTTATAAATAATTCACTCCTCGTCCTGCAAATATTTGTGAAATGTTCATTTTGTGTAAATAATGACAAAAAGAAATGTGTATTTACTTTATAGGTCTAATACAGGGGTGGCAAACTCAAATTCATCGGGGGCCGCATCAGCAGTATGGTTACCCTCAAAGGCCGGTTGTATAGGACTATGCATCTACTCTTATCATAAATAGTTGCCTCTGCATTCAGTTGCTACTGGTGATAGCGGCCACACCCCCAGTAACCACACCCATTTATCACCCATATTTTTGCTAAAATATAAGAGTCGGGGTCACGTTGGGTAAATAGACACCAATTCTCACACGGAGGACCGGTAATTATCACTGATATTTACCCATCCCCCGCTCTGCCACGCACAGAGCCGCTGTCATCCTGAAACTGACAGGATGACAGCGGCTCCGATCTCCTACCTGCTCGGCCATCCTGACAGCTGCGGGCGCGGCTTCTCTCCCCCTCACCGCTCCACCATCCTGACTGCAGGAAGCGCTGTGCGCGCCACATTACAAGGTCCGGCGGGCCTTATGTTTGCCACCCCTGGTCTAATACAATATATGGTGTAATACTGCAATATGGCCACCAGATGGAGCTAAGACCATAGGGAATATACAGGTGAAACTCGAATAATTAGAATATCGTGCAAAGTTCATTTACTAGGGTCCCTAGAGGTCCAGCAAGCGGCCCTCTAATATGCCTGAATAGAGGGCCACCGTTGCCATATTGCGGCCGGTCACCACCTGAATAGAGAGCAGCACCCCATTACTCCTGGCATACCTGGCAAGCCCGCACTGACCGCCAGAGAGCCCGCACTGGCACCCTGAGAGCCTGAACTGGCCCCCTTAGAGCCTAAACAGCCTCCTGAAACCCTGAAGACATCAGGCCCGTGAACCCGGAGCAACACAGAGTATGTAGCATCATAGTATTCTGCATTGCTGTATAATGTATTACTGGGATTTGCAGTCCTCCATAGTTGGCAGTATTCTGCATTGCTTTTATTATAATTATTATACAGGATTTCTATAGCGCCAATAGTTTGCGCAGCACTTTACAATATAAGGAAGACATTAGTCACAATACAATTTAAGACAAGATGGTAAGGAGGGCTTTGTAATGTATTACTGGGATTTGTAGTCCTCTATAGTTGGCAGTATTGGAGTCAGTGGCAGATCTACCAGGCTCACAGCTACAGCCGGGCCCTTGAGCTCCACCACTGACTCCAAGCTGTAGAGAGACTACAAATCACAGCCCGGACAGGAGGAAGAGGGCCCTGGTGACCTTCGACATTTCCATAAAACGGACCACCGAAATGCTCAGCACCAGGCCCGTGATGCTCTTAATCCGGCCCTGGCAAAGTCCACCCTGTTTACCTCTATCTAAAAGGTAAATGATTCAAAGTCTTTCTAACCCTAGATGCCTGATGGGCGAGGTATAATGGTCACATGACTTGTTTTGTCCTGTGTGATGTCATTTCATTTTCTGAAGTCTGCAGTTTTCACATTTACAATCCTCTCACAGAGTTAATATGACTGCAGCTGTGTACACTTAGCGATGCATTGGGCTGCTTCCTGGGTGTCCAGCATTCTAAGCAGATATACACACTGGGATATAACGTCCCCCTACATTGTACGTCTCCTCTACTGAGGAACCTGCTGAGCACAAGACAGCTGTAGATATCTTCTTTCAGTTCCTCTAATGCAACTTCATCCCAACACACACATCAGAGTACAAAAATACTCGTAATATTTATACATTTGTTTTTCTGCTGCCTTATATATTAATGTGAATTACTCTCTGAAAATAGGAGACTGGTGACACTGGCAGTCATGCAGATAGCAGGGTGGAGACTGGTGACACTGGCAGTCATGCAGATAGCAGCGTGGGGACTGGTGACACTGGGGGTCATGCAGATAGCAGCGTGGGGACTGGTGACACTGGCAGTCATGTACATAGCAGGGTGGAGCGTGGTGACACTGGCGGTCATGCAGATAGCAGGGTGGAGACTGGTGACACTGGCGGTCATGCAGATAGCAGGGTGGAGACTGGTGACACTGGCAGTCATGCAGATAGCAGGGTGGAGACTGGTGACACTGGCAGCCATGCAGATAGCAGGGTGGAGACTGGTGACACTGGCAGTCATGCAGATAGCAGGGTGAGGACTGGTGACACTGGCAGTGAATATAATGGTCGGGGAACAAAAGCACATATACTGTCAGGAGCAGTTTTTGCAGCAGGCTTTGGCCCCTTTTCCCCTTAGTTGGATAAACCACCAAGAAAAGACCATACCTCTGAACAGTCCCGGACTTGTTCGATGTGTCCCACGGACAAAATAACTCTGCTCTGTCATAAGCCACAGTCCTTCCCTGTGATCAGATGGTGAGATGTGCCTGCCAGCGCTCGACATTCCGTATTACGTGATGAAGCCCATACACCTGGTGCTGTCCATCATCCTGATCCAGCAGTTGGCTCTGTCTCCTAGACTCCAGCTATGTGGTGTGTTGTTGCTGTTACAGTAGTATAGCGGATTCATGTGCTGCCATCTTGAGGTCATTTTGGTTATTGCACCATTCCTTTTTTGAATTCCCTCCCTGTGTGTGATGTTCTTCATTCTTGTGGAAGTAATCATTTTTGGTGTCATGGCTGCCTATATCGAGGTCACGTGATACACTTGCATAGGGAAAACATTACCACCTTTGGCCTGCAAATATTATCACACATCTATATCCTGTTGTCTGCTGTAACAAACCTGCTGCATTCAATAAAGATCTTCGTGGATGAAAAGTTATTTGGCGAGTTCAGCCAGGGCTGCCATAAGAAACTTTGGGGCCCCTTACAGAGCTTTAGGCCTCTCCCTCCCCATAGTCAGGCTGCTAAAACACTTACCTTACCACTCAAGCGACTCTGCTCCACTGCCTGATCGCTCTTTGGTAAAGCCTATACAGACTAAGCTCCGCCTCATGAAAACCCCCCTTCCTGCATGTACAGGAAGGTACCAAGTTACAGGGGAGGGAGGGCCGGGACCGTACCAAGTGCTGTACTGCACTTATTACCAACAGAAAAACAGTGATGGACCTAAGGAACAAACTGGCTCCCCAACCCCATGGCGGTCTCTGCACCACAGGAGCTTACACTCTAATGTCCCCCCAGTCACATACTATTGCTATACATTTAATATAGCTCTGACATATACCACAGTGCTGTATAGAGAACACTAAGCCAGCCACATCAGTCTCTGTACAGAGGAGCTTACACTCTAATGCAGAATGGCACCAGCTGTAGGGAGACTACAAATCCCAGTAATACATTATACAGCAATACAGAACAGTATATGAATTGGACCCGGGGGCCTAGCGACTCGCTGCTTACTCGGGGAGACGGCTCCTTGTTGTTTGGCTGGCTCGATGGGCTGGGAAGCCGGTTTCCCTGCCAATCACAACCAGCATTGAACCGGCTTCCCGGCCAATCAGGAAGCCGGGCGGCGGGTAGTGACCTGCCACCCAGCTTCCTGATTGCCCGGTAAGCTGGCTCCATGATCCCCCTACGGCACTGCCAGTCAGAGGAAATCTTAGCGGAAGTTCCGGTATCAGAGCATTTGGGGCAAGTACAAGTATTCGCCCAAATACTCGGTGTCAGCACCGATACCAGTATTGGCGCATATCTAACAATATTGAGTTTTTCCACCTCCTGGGGGTCCCTTGCACCCTGGGCCCTAAATTTCGTCAGTTCTTCTCCCGCTAAATGACCAGAGATGGCTGCACAGTGGAGGAACTGCTGACAGATTTCACAGGTAAGGTGCCATGTAGTCATCATTCAGTTATGGGGCCACACCAACTCTCTTCTCCACTGTGTGGAGGTCCCAGGGGCCCTGTGTGGACACATTTTGTATCTGTACTGATGGGGGAGGAATAGCACCTCAGTCCCCTCATTTGTATCTCCCAGGAGATGGTTGCGGAGTGCTATACATTCAACCTCAGGGACATTTCCTAACTGCAGTTATTATACTCTCCTCCCTGGGGGCCACAGTTTCTGATCTTCCTGATCTATGGTGTCTGTCAGAATCTTCAGCGTTCTACACTTCCGGGTGCGTCAGATACCCGCTTCCCCCACCGTGCACTGTGGTTTCTTCTTTAGACCCCTGGAGGGGCTCCTCCACCACCCTGCGTCTGAGTTTACAGGCTGTGTCTGATAAGGTCACCAACATGGACGTCAGACAGGCCAATTACTCCACGGCTGGCTTACTAGAGGAATTTAAACAAACCATCAATGACCTGCACAGCCTTGCTCAGTGCTATTGGGGAGGTGAGAACGGTGACCAACACAACATATGCAGCGTAATACACCATCACCACACAGGGGAGGGCAATAAACGGCAATTCGCAATACACAGATCCAGAAACTGACAATTTAATGTCACAGATAATATATCCTAAAAACAATCTGTACAATTATCATGTCCATGTGATCCTCCTCAGACTAGGCATGTCCATGTCATACTGCTCCTCATCAGACTAGGCATGTCCATGTCATACTGCTCCTCATCAGACTAGGCATGTCCATGTCATACTGCTCCTCATCAGACTAGGCATGTCCATGTCAAAGTGATCCTCCTCAGACTAGGCATGTCCATGTCAAAGTGATCCTCCTCAGACTAGGCATGTCCATGTCAAAGTGATCCTCCTCAGACTAGGCATGTCCATGTCAAAGTGATCCTCCTCAGACTAGGCATGTCCATGTTATTCTAATCCTCCTCAGACCGGGCAGCTTCTGGGTCTGACACATTCTGCCCTATTATTGCAGCCTCTTCCTCTTCCTCCTCCTCATCAGAACTGGTAACGCAGCCGGTCTGGAAGAGATTGACGAGTTCCCGGAATCGCTGAGCCACCTGCCGGGAGAACAAAGATTTACTGTCACCTTTATACCATGAAAAATAATAATGTAAAATCTTCATCTTCAAGTCTATTGCTGCCACCTACAGGAGGATTGGGACACTGGCAAACAAAGGACCAATGGCAGCCCAGGACAACCCCTCTTCCTACCAGTATGTCTCAGTTTTATGGAAAGCAGTACCAAGAACATGATCACAAACACAAGGGTAGGGCCTGTGTTCCTCAACAGACTCCAAGAAAAGCATTTTATGGTGACTACAAACATGTGTCTCATCCGCTGAAGGACACAGGAAGCATGTAACTGACAGATCTAGTAGAGTGCACCTTGACAGGAAAAGACAGATCCTCACCTTTAGCAGACTAGGCATGTCAAATCCAACGAGAAATGGTGGAACGAGACACATGGAACCCCTGCGAGGTCCTTCAGGAAGGAAAAACAGGCAATCAGATTGCCAGACCTAGGAGGTGAACTCTGACAACTCAGTCCAAATCCAAGAAATGGAAGGCAACCACTTTAGGATGTTTCAGAGAAAGGAAAAGAAGGAAGGGCAATGTCTTTATTAAGGTGAAACAAGGACACGACCTTGGGCAGGAAAGAAATCATTGGGCTAGAGAAGAACCTTATCATTGTCAATCACAAGGAACAGTTCCTTGCACGAAAGTGGGGCCAAATCCGACACCCTCTGATAGCGACAAGGAAACCACCGTGTATGGAAGATCTGTCAGGGAGAAATCTCTGGTAGGTTCGAATAGAAATTTGCTAGAGAGATGAAAGCACCAGATTGTGATCCCACGGCATCACCGGAGGAAGCCATATGTGCCACCCCTTGCACAAAAGCCTTGAATAAGAAATCAGAAGCCAGTGGCCACTGAAAAAGGAAGGCCAAGGCCGACATTTGCCCCTCAAGAGTTCTCAGGGCCAAATGTTGATCCTGCCCTGATTGGAGGACGACCAAAATCCATCTCCGAGGATAAAACTTTGCACCAGGCAAAGTAAGCCCACCAAGTGCAATAGTACACCTTGCGACTTTCTGGCATGCAAAGGTGTAGGAATGGCCGAGTCAGACAGACCCCTATCCCTCAGGACCTGGGCTGACAGGATGGAGTACTGGAATTTGTGATAGAAGGCAAAGGATGTGCGTGTATAAGTCTTCTGGCTGAGATGGGAGCAATGAGGGTCACTGGAAGAGATCTTTAAGGGGAGAGGTGTAGATTAGGGATGCCCAGATACCGGTTTTTCAGTATCGAGTAATGATTTTTTTTTTTTATTTACTCACTGTTACAGAAAGTCCCATTAAGGAAGCCAGGCGGCATGTAATGACTCACCACCTGGCTTCCTGATTAGCCGGAAACCCGGGGTGTGTGTAAACACTTGCCACCCGGCTTCCCGATTAGCAGGGAAGCCGTCTAAATGCTCCCTCGTCAACAGGTGACGAGGGAGCATGGAGCCGGCTTTCTGGCCAATCAGGAAGCCGGGCGCCATGTAATGACTCGTTGCCCGGCTTCCTGATTGGTCGAGAAGCTGGCTCCATTGCTCCCTCGTCACCAGGTGACGAGGGAGCATGAAGCCAGCTTTCTTTCCAATCAGAAAGCCAGGAGGGGGGTAATGACTTGCCATCCGGGTTCCTGATTGGTCGGGATGCTTACCAATCAGGAAGCTAGGCGACGAGTCATTACACGCTGCCCCGCTTCCTGAATTGGCCAGGAAGCCGGCTCCATCATCACTTGGCGACAAGGGAGAATGGAGCCATCTTCCCGGCGAATCAGGAAGCGTGTATTGACTCGCCGCCTAGCTTCCTGGTTGGTTGGGAAACTCAGGTATTGGAGCATTTGGGCGATTAAGAGTACTCGCCCAAATACTTGGCATCGGCACGAATACGAGTATCGGTGCATCCTTAGCGTAGATCATGGAGAACGGATATCACCGAGTCACCAAAGAATTCACCGCGAAGGCTCGCAGATCCCTGCGCCAGGACACAAACCTGTCCAGTTTGCTCAGATGGTTCACGGAAGCCTGCTCAGGGGACGGATCTGTGAGTCGGGATAGATTTTGCCAACCATATACTATTTGTGACCACTCCTCTGAGACAATGCTTATGGTGACCCCACCCCTGATGGGCAAACACACAAAGCTGCCCAATCGGTATGTTGCAACAATCCTGCTGTGGCAGCATGGAGTATGGACAGCCACCATATAGTATCTGTAGAAACCTCATTCAGAGGCCTAAAACTAGTAGTCAGCCAATCAAGTCAGCACTCCTCCGAAGATTGTTTTAAATCGGAAGATTAGCAGAATAGCCAGTTTCTGGCATTTTCAGACATCTGCCATGACCCCATATTTGATTGGCTGGCGTCTTACCTCAGGAGGACTCTTGTTGCCAAGTTGTGCAGAGATGGCACTGAACGTCTGGTCGTGCGCTCCTTGCTCCTGGCACATGGTGAGAATGACCCTATCAGCCTCCCTGCAGAGACACAACATGGGGGTATCAGAGAACAAGGACAACAGGGGTCATTCACAAAAGGTGATGATATACAGGAACACAGAGCAACAAAATGTCAGCCCAAAAAGCTGCGACTGGTTGCTATGGGTTACTGTAGTTCAACCGCCACTGCACATTACATACATCACTGTCAGCCAATCAGAAAGCTATGTCCGTGACGTGTCACATGACACAGTGTCTGACGCCTCACCTGGTCCACACAATGACCTTCTCTCCGCTGGAGCTGAGCCGGATATTCTTGGCACACATGGGGAGCGTCTGCTCCTCCCGATCGGTGGGCTGGAGGTCGCAGTTTTCCTCAATGGGGAGATTCGGTTCGGAGACGGAGAGGGAAACAGATGGAATTTCGGTCGGTGTGGTGCAGCGGGTGGCAGCCTCCACTGGAGTCCCAGGGTTTTCCACACTATTTGGGGTGCAGGGATCGGAATGGGACTGTGGTGAGCACGCGCTCTCCTTTTCTGTCAATGTAGGAGCCAAATCCTTTGAGGCATTAGGTCTGCGGGCCCCTCGGAGGGCAGAGCGCCCAATGTCCTTAGACTGTGTCCTCTGTTTGCTGGTGCTTTCAGCGATGCCACGTGTATGCAGGGTGGAGCGACATCTGTGCGCGGTCCCAGCAGTTGTCCGCTCCTCTCCTGAGGCCTTCAGCATAGTCCTGCCATCACCTGGATCAGAGCGGATGACGTAGAGTTAAAGGGCCGAATGTCAAGTGAGCCATCATTCTATGGGAGAGGGGAAAATGACCGACTCACTTACCTGCCGAGCCCTGACGAAACGCAGCATCTGCTGGCCGCTGGGAACGATCACAGGCCTGAGTACAGAACATGAGCCGTTACCAACACGGACAGACAGACAGACATAGAAACATACAACTGAGCCACAATGATTCACCTTACTGCTGCAGTGACTGCACAGCCTCCTCTTACAACGCTTTAGCCTCTGCTCTGTTCCTCCATCATGACAAGAACACGGGCAATCCTTCCCGCCATCCAGCCAGTCCCCATCCTGCAATTACACAGATTACCCAAAATCAGTAATAAGATCCTAAATATTACACTGTGCTCAGAGGTGTCCCACCTCAGACCCCAGACATAGCTCAGAGCTGTCCCCCCTCAGACATAGCTCAGAGCAGTCCCCCCTCAGACCACAGACAGAGTTCAGAGCAGTGTTATCAGACTTAGCTAAGAGCGCTCCCCTCTTAGACGTACTCATACTCAGATGTTGGATGGAGCCCAGAGCAAGTCCCCCTTCTGACATCAGAGATAAGAGCGGAACCCTCTCAGATTTCGAACAGAGATCACAGAGGGAACCTCTCGGACTTGACTCATACTCCCCTATCGAACTGAGGTCAGAGTGGTTCCCCTCTTAGACATTGGTTCCCTCACCCAACTCATACTCCCATATGGGACTGAGCACAGAGCGGTCCCCCCTCACCTTGTCCTGGCTGTGGCTGGCCTCCTTTCTCCTCTTGTTCCTTTGAGTTGGAGGCACTTTGCCCGGCTCCTCCTCCTCATCCATTTCCGGTATCACTACTTCTTCAAATCCATCAAACTACAAAAAACACATTAATTATAAATTGCCAGACTCCAGTACTACCCTTCTGTCACCTTCCTCCTCCCACTGCGATCAAACTCCTCCCACTATTTCTATCTTCCTCCTCCCACTATGGTTCTGCCACCTTCCTCCTCACACTACTCTTCTGTCACTTTCCTCCTCCCACGATCATCACCGAGCCCGCCCACTACTGTTCTGTCTCATTCCTCCTCCCACTATGATCAGACTCCTCCCAATACGGTTCTGTCACTTTCCTTTAGGGCTGCAACAACTAATCGACATAATCGATTATAGAAAAAGTTGTCAACTTTTTCAATAATCGATTAATCGCCTTCCACACCAGCTACGATCAGGCTCCTCCCACTATTTCAATCTTCCTTCTCCCACTATGATCACCAACTCCGGTGTCACAAAGAACACAGCAAGCTGCAGCTTTGATAGAGAGGAATAATCACTCAAATGTAATATGGAGCCTTGTGTACAAGGCCCAAAGAACAGTCTCTAGTCTCCTTCTACCAACCAATCAGCTTCTCTGATTCCTGTTGATAGGGCTGCTGAGAACATGTGAGGGAGGCGCAGATTGGCTGCTGAGAATGACCGTTTCTTGTTCAGTCATACACTCGGTACATGAGGCCTGTGAAGCTGGTGGTAGATATCAGCAGTGTAATTCTCACTTTATACTGGAAGAGGTCAGACTACGGCTTATCTGCATCTGACAATGTCTCAAACTTCCTTTTCCTGGCCTTCTCTGTCATCCTTCACCTGTCACCTAAGATCAGGTCTGTCACACCTCCCTGATCACCTAGAATTAACCCTGACTTCTGTCATCCTTCAGCTGTCACCTCTCCCTGATCACCTAGAATTAACTCTGACTTCTGTCATCCTTCAGCGGTCACCTAAGATCGGGTCTGTCATACCTCCCTGATCACCTAGAATAAACCCTGACTTCTCTGTCATCACTCGCCAGTCACCCAGAAAAAGGTTGGTCGTCCCTCAACTAAAATAAGGTCAGTCATCCCTCACTGTTCCCCCAGAATAAGGTCTGTCATCGTTCACTTCTTACTCAAAAATTGGTCTGTCTTCTCTCAGCAATCATCAGGAATAAGGTCCGTCATCCTTCACCATTCACCTAGAATAACATCTGTCAAGCGCTCACAAGTTCCCTAGAACAGGGTGCATCACCGCTCACCTCTCACTCACAAGAAGGTCTGTTATTACTCACCAGTTCCCTATAAGGTTCATCATCCCTCACCAGCCACCTAGAATAAGGTTCATCATCCCTCACCAGTCATATAGAATAAGGTCAGTCATCTCTAACCAAATATCTAGAATACAATCTGTCATCCCTTACCAATCGCATAGAATAAGGTCCATCATCCCTGACTGGTCAGGTAGAATAAGGTCTGTCATCCCTCACCTAGAATATGGCCCTTCATTCCTCACCAGTCAGCTAGAATAAGGTCCATCATCCCTGAGTGGTCATGTAGGATAAGGTCCGTCATCCCTCACCTAGAATATGGCCCTTCATTCCTCACCAGTCAGCTAGAATAAGGTCTATCATCCCTGAGTGGTCATGTAGGATAAGGTCCGTCATCCCTCACCTAGAATATGGCCCTTCATTCCTCACCAGTCAGCTAGAATAAGGTCTATCATCCCTGAGTGGTGACATAGAATAAGGTCCGTCATCCCTCACCTAGAATATGGCCCTTCATTCCTCACCAGTCAGCTAGAATAAGGTTTGTCATCTACTTACTTTGTGCTCCTTATCCTCGGTCCAGTTCATGACCTCAAAATCCTCCATGCGGCTGGCAGGAGGCCTGAGCTGGTCAAAGAAAAGAGAAAACTCTTCCTGAAGATGGTGGTGGCCCTTCAGCAGCTGCCACATTTGAGTTTTCAGCTGCCGGGAGATGAACAGAGAGAGGTGAGGAAAGAGAGAGACAGCTGACAACACTTTGCAGTGCCAGGACGGCATGCAGGTATGATGATGCGTCCCTGGTACAGCACCAACCTTTCCAATCTCCTGTACGGGGCACTCTGCACAGCTCTGCAGCAGTTTGATGATCTTCTGGTGATGAGCAGGGTTCTCCTTAAAACAAATCTCCAACTGGCGCAGGAATCGGCGGCTCTTCTCAAACGCTTGCTGTTCTTCGAACTGGAAATCGAGAAAACAAATTGGAGGTGGCTACTAAATTAAAGGGTCAGAAGCTCATAAAGTAAACATGGGCTTAAGCTTCATGAGAGGCATTCTTCATAAGAAACTTGTCTTTGTACACAATGACTCCACTACTTGTAGAATGTGCGGTGTGTGAGGACAATATGGAGGTGCTGGTATGGTGTGCTGGGCCACAGAGGCATGTCGTGTTCCATCACTCACCAGGCCGCACTCCAGCGCTTGTTCCGGGAGCAGAAATGCAGCAAAATCCTTGAGGAGCTGTGGCCAGTCCTGCAGGAGGTGCTGAAGACTCTCGTACAGATCTACCGCTGTCCTTTTACCACTGCTCGTCTCAAACTCATAGATGATGTTCAGGAACTGTTCATAGGTACCCGGGACCGACTGCAGAGCCTCCCGAACCTAAGAGAAGACACTTGAACCTGTCAGCTCCACTGGCACAGAAGGTACAGAGAGGAAGACTCACATTGTCCAGGCATAATGGGGCACCATAACTCAGTCACATTATTGGGGTCTCACAGTTAGGCATCTTGTACAAAGAGGTGTCACCAGTCAGTTTTCTCCTATGAGAGCTACCCCACAGTCATGGGTCTCATCACAATCATGGGGTTCTCCACTATCATAGGTCTCAACACAGTCATTGATCTCATATGAGGGGTCTCTCTACAAGCGGTCTTTCTAATGTCCTGAGTCTCATATGAGGGGGTCGGTCAACTGTTTTGGGTCTCGTACGAGGGGTCTCACCAATGTAATGGGCCTCGTACGAGGGGTCCTGCTACGGGTCATGGTTCTTGTACAAGTGGGTCTCATTACAGTCTCCTCGGTCATGGATCTTGTACAATGGTACTCTCTATTGTCTTGGTCTCTTTATAGTCCTAGGTCTCATACGAGGGGGTCTCATACACAAGGCCTCATCAGTCATGGATCTTGTATAAGGGTACTCTCCACTCTCTTACGAGGGGTCTTTTTATAGTCCTAGGTCTCCTACGAGGGGGTCTCATACACAAGGCCTCATCAGTCATGGATCTTGTACAAGGGTACTCT